TGCGGTGCTCCCTCAGCACTGACCCTCCAACAGTGCGGCACTTGCTCGGCACTGACCTTCCGACAGTGCGGCGCTCCCTCAGTACCTGACCCTCTGACAGTGCGGCACTCCCTCAGCACTAAACAATTTTTCAAATTCTCTCTCATTTTAAGTGGATGATTCTGCATTAAATCAACACGTGTGTCTGAGATTGCTAGATTTCTTTTGAACAGGGTGCATAACAATGTGGAGTGGAGGCAGTTGCGTGGGTACAGGATACAGATTCGTCATGATTTTATTGAATTGAAGGGCTGAATGGCCTCCTCATGATGCTCCTCTGATCTTTTCTGATTTGCCAGCAGGTGGCAGCAGTTAATCTTTGCTCTCATCAACAAATGCATTTCGAATCAGCAATGATACACATCACAGGGATTGCAGTGATTCAGGATTTGTAGGTCTCAGTAATTCATTATTTGACCATTAACAGCTTTTCTGGGGCCATTGCTGTGTGAGTGTCAGGATGAGAAGCTGAATTCCCCATTGCTTTTCTTCTTTCCCTCCCTGATTAGGAATCTGTCCATCTCGGTGACAACTGGAGCTCACACAGATTTCTGGGAGTTTCTGATAGTTGCTGAGAGATTCTGATAATTTCCTGCAGGAATAAGACACCTACACTTGCCAGATAATGTGACCAGTGATGCCATTCCTGAGGCAGGAAGCATTTGTTGGGAATGTTTTATTTCGAAGTCCAGGTCGAGGAATATTCCAAATGTTCCACAGTGATTATTGCGATGCTGGTGCTGCTGTTTGGGTCAATATTTAGTGTCCCTTGGTAACGGGCCTGGAGAAGGTGCTAGAGAGCTGCCTCCCTGACCTGGTGTGTGTTTGTGCAGAGGTAGTGAGGGTGTGCTATCCTCGTGTATCCGGTCAGTAAACACATCACTCTCCTCTGAGGAAGACTGTTCCTCTGGATTGGGATGGGGAAGAGGGAGACTGCAAAGGCACAGTTTGAAACAGGGGCCATGGTGTGTCACATGGCATAGGCAGGACTTCAATGTCGATGGAGAAGGGATGAGGTTGGGGTCACCGAGGAGCCAGCAATAATGGGAACTCACTTCCAATACTCCTGGCATTGGACTCAAACCTCGATCGAGGCTTGATTGTGCCCTTTCATCCTCAAGCTTTTAGATCGTCACAATTCCTAAACTGCCCCCAGGACATTCCCAATCAGGGAGGTGATGGCCTAGTGGTATTATCGCCAGAATGTTAATCCTGACACCCAGGTAATGTTCTGGGGACCTGGGCTCGAATCCTGCCATGACAGATTGTTCAATAAAAATCTGGTGTTGAGAGTCTGATGATGACTGTCAATTGTCAGGAAAATCCCATGGAGTTCACTAATGTTCCTTAGGGAAGGAAACTGCTGGCCTACATGTGACTCCAGACCCACAGCAATGTAATTTACTTTTAATTGCCCTCCGGGATGGGTAATAAATGCTGGCCTAGCCAGAGACGCCTTCATCCCATGAATGAATATTTTTAAAAAATCCCCTATCACAGCTACAACACTCAGGCCCTATGGCCTTCTCCTTTTGCCAGGATTTAGCTAAAATTACAGCAGCTGACAATCAGAAAATTCCACCTTTGAGACAAATCCCCCCAGTGTGAGCAAAGGGTATAGGCTGAAAATTCCAATGTAGAAGCATAACTGTCGGAAAGTGGCTATGAGGGAGTGCAGCACCATCAAAGGGTGAATACTGGGATCTTGCTGTGCACAATTTGGCTGCTTTTTGTAAAATCTGAAAATGTCGTTGCTACGTTTCTAAGTATTCCATTTGCTGTGAAATGCTTCATGAGGTTCAGAGGTTGTGACAGCTGCTATCAAAATGAAAGTGCTACAACGAAATGTTACCTATTTCTCTCTCCACAGATGCTGCCAGACCTGCTGAGTTTCTCAAGAATTTCCTGTATTACAGATTTCCAGCTTCCCCTGTATTTTGCTTTTCTTTCTATTTGTGTTTCGCTGAGCAGTTATTTCAATTTCTCTCTGTAATCCTGTTCATGATTTGATAACAATAGCTACAATCTTTCAGAAAAAACATCTGGATGTGTATATGAATGGGAAAACTTTAGAGAGATATGGGCTAAACGCTGGCCAATGGGACTAGATCAGACTGGAATGTGTGGTCGGTGCGTTGGACCTGTTTCTGTCTAACACTATGACTCTTATCACATTTGTGGAACACTTCACAATCATTTCATGTTGCTTCTCAAATTACTGAATTCACAGAAACAATCTTCCAAAGTCACAAGTGCCGATGAGTGCACAAGGAGATGAGCAGGAGGAGCTGCATTTTCACTGCCCCTGAGCAGCTCAGCAGCACATCCCAACATCTCGTGTCCTTGAACTTCAACCAGGGGTTTCTGGGAGGTCACTCTGGAAAACAATTACAGCCTGGACACTGCAACAGGGAGGGGGGCATCTATAGACCAGGCTCACAAAGTATACCTCAAAGAATAATATTAAATAGACAGCCCACCGTAACACAGGGTCAGGGCGTGAGGGACCCACAGGGTGGGGGAGTGAGGGGCATAGGCTCAGGGCGTGAGTGGCACAGGGAAATGACTCCTGTCTGTTACTATTGAGCTATTGGAGCCTTTTGTATCCCTCAGGGATCATTGAGGGAAGGTGAACTCGGAAAACTCCATAGAAGAATGTGAAAAACTCTGACAGTGTCAGAGTTGGAGTCGCTCCTTTGGAGATTGTTAGGAGTGCCTGGATATCCAAGAACAGAGTGACCATCAGAGTGAGCCTCAGTCTGACCCCGGAGTGACCCTCAATCTGACAGAGGCCGGAGTGATCCTCAGTTTGACAGAGGCCGGAGTGACCCTCAGTCTGACCCCGGAGTGACCCTCAGTCAGACAGAGGCCGGAGTGACCCTCAGTCTGACCCCGGAGTGACCCTCAGTCAGACAGAGGCCGGAGTGACCCTCAGTCTGACCCCGGAGTGACCCTCAGTCAGACAGAGGCCGGAGTGACCCTCAGTCTGACCCCGGAGTGACCCTCAGTCAGACAGAGGCCGGAGTGACCCTCAGTCAGACCCCAGAGTGACCCTCAATCTGAACCCGGAGTGACCCTCAGTCTGACAGAGGCCGGAGTGACCCTCAGTCAGACCCCAGAGTGACCCTCAATCTGAACCCGGAGTGACCCTCAGTCTGACAGAGGCCGGAGTGACCATCAGTCTGACAGAGGCCGGAGTGACCCTCAGTCAGACAGAGGCCGGAGTGACCATCAGTCTGACCCCGGAGTGACCCTCAGTCTGACAGAGGCTGGAGTGACCATCAGTCTGACCCCGCAGTGACCCTCAGTCTGACAGAGGTCAGAGTGACCCTCAGTC